ATGACTACGAATAATTTGTCTGTAGGAGTCGAGACTGCATACAGTTATACGTGACGTCAGGAATACATATAAATACAACGACATGAATTATAGTGTGTTGTCATGAATAGCTAGGAAGAGACAAAACGTCAACGGGGCTATGTTACAAGTTTTGCAGACAGAAATACTCCAGGTGCTGTCGAAACTTGTGTCAGCAATATTACGAGGTTGTTACAAATCTTCCCGCCCCACGGACCGAGCATGAAAGGGGTGGGGGTGTCGAGATCGCTGGGTACTAGTGGGACGCCATGTAATGCCGATTCTTACATGTTAGAAACATAGACAACTAGAGCACTCGGAGAGCACAGACCTCCGCCAAGGCAGCTCAATTCTCTCAATGTGAAATTTTTTATTAATTAATTAATTAATTAAGTGAAAAAAATTAATTAAATAATTATTTGGATCCGGATTAGTGCGAGCGTGCAGGTGGGGGAGGACTGTGGTTGCCCCTTAGCCTGTGGTTGCGTGTTTGTAAGTCTACAGCCAGCGCACCTAGAGGAAGTGAACTGAAACGTGCATGGTAACAAACCCACAAACCCACAAACCAACACTCAAAGACACGCCGGTGAAAACATAACCTCCACCAAGCCCCTGGCGGAGGTAACAAACTCATTGCCACAGATCTGCACGGGATGTGAATGCAGTCACAACTACTGCACCACAACATGCATGACAATAGGGCAGCATGCCTGTACAACCACCTACACACGACACAACGCTGATGATAACATATAGAACACTGCAGTAACACACACAAATCATCACACGTGTAGTATCAAGAGCTAATGATATTATTAATATAATTAATTAATTAATAAATATAATTAATAATATTATGAATAAATATGATTCATAATATTATTAATTAATTGATAAATATAATTAATTAATTATTAATTATTATTCATAATATCATCAATTAATTGGTAAATATAATTAATAATAATATTAGCTCTTAGTAGTAGTATCATTTGCGCGTGGAATATGCCGTGGATGCTCGTGCAAGCGAACACGTGGTGAGTAAGCGAAACAAATCGACGATGACGTGTAGAAAGCGAGATCAGTCCAACACACGGAAACACTGCACGAAAGAACGAACGAACGAACGAACAACCACCGAAGCACCAACCGGCCTGACTATGCTTTCGAGCATGGCCCTCGGCTCCCTTCCTCCTCCGCTCAGCTACTGATGGAACGAGAGAAGGCGAGATGAGTCTTCTTCTACATATCTATCACGCACGCGACATGACAGCAGGCAAACCACAGACACTGTGGCTGAAGGGGTCGTTGTCGTATAGGGTACACTAACCCTAACCCTAACCCTAACCCCCCTAACCCCTAACCCTAACCATATCAGATAGTTACCTCAGGTACATATATGTCACCTACGCCTACGCCTACTCCCTAACCCTAACCATATCAGATAGTTACAAGCGTACTGTCACCTAGCGTACTGTCACCTAGCGTATTGTCACCTAGCGTATTGTCACCTAGCATACTGTCACCTAGCGTATTGTCACCTAGCGTACTGTCACCTAGCGTACTGTCACCTAGCGTACTGTCACCTAGCGTACTGTCACCTAGCGTATTGTCACCTAGCGTACTGTCACCTAGCGTACTGTCACCTAGCGTACTCTCGATTGCAGCTGCATCTGAGCTTGCAACGTATATTGGCACCACACTTGGGTCATCCCCTATGATTCCGAACATCTCGTCTGCAAACTTAAATGTTGACAGCTGAGCACCGGTTCTGTTCGTTTGCTGAACGTGATTTCGGTAAGACTTCTTCAGGTTTCTACATTTGTCTTTACACTTATGCACGGAGATATGAGGTACGTGTTTCTGTAACTCAGCGCATATTTTGTTCCACACCTTGGCCTTGTTGGTGCTTGACTTCAATTCATCAAAGTGTTCTGTAATGGCATCCAACAATGCTGTTGTTTGCTGGACTGTCCATTCATGTCCTGACTCTGGAATAAAAAGTAGCAGAAATGATGTATTGTACCCTCATGATAACTTGGAATATTGGTGGATAATCTTGCTTTCAAAAAGCAAAATAAAATACAAATTAAGTTTATTGCACAGATAATATTAAATTTATTATATATTCAAAATGCACATTACAAAATGAATACATATACAGATAATATTTTATATCGAAAAGTATGTATATCTATATAAAAGATAATATACAGTCACAGATAATGTGTTATAAATGTGAAAATAGGAAGCAGTTTAGTCAACCACGGGCACGTGTAACTCTGCTCAACATACACCATTACCTAGGCTATGTATACAGTATTACTAATACTATAGTATATATGAATATCTACATCATACATGTCAATTATCGTAGGTAATGGTATGTAGAACAGCGTTACAGGTGCCCGTGGGTCAACAGCAATTCGCTAGATACTGCTTGCATTAAAATATGAAAGTTTCAAACGTGTTTTTAGATGAATGATTATTGCTATAGGTAGTATACAGTCCGTATACAGTAGTTATTGTTTGCTATTCTTAGCAAGAATCGGAGTATTGACTATTCTTAGGCTTAGCAGATGATCTGGTAAAACAATGCGGATACCATTTTCCTGAGCTCCTGCAGTATCCCATGAGTATCCAGCTTCGGCAGAATCAACATTAGTAGAAGTCGCAGAACCTGCACATGGCCTATGCAGTGATACAGCCATCAGTGTTGGGAAAAGTTTCATGCAATTCCCACACTGATATATCGTCGCCATGATTCAAGGTTCTAGTTCAATGGATTGTGGGATACTTCCCCAACTTGCCCCAAGTGAGCGGCTCGGCGAGCAGGTTACTTCGGCCTCACCCAGGTAACACAAAAATACCACGTGACTGCCAAATCGAACGTATTTGGGGCTGGCCAGAGTAGACCCAGGTTAACTTGAGGAAGCAAATCGAACGGGCTAGAAATGAAGGTGTCAGCGGTGAAACCACGGCCACGGACTAAACATGGGAATGGAGTAAAACACACGTACTAATCACGGACGCACGTGGACAGCCCTGACAAAAAGTTCCTTATCACGAGCGTCCGTGTTTACGAAATCACTGATGATAGCATTGCGTACGGCCGAGCATGCGTGGGAAAATGTCCGGTGCACTATAAATCTGTATCACCCCCGCTTCGCCGGCAGCGGTTTGAAACTGTAAACAACTGATTCTTGGACTGCGGATTTCAATTAGACACTTAGTAGACACTTAGTAACCAGGAGTGATATTGGACAAACTAATACGCGTTTGGATGTAAGGTTATGTACTTATATTAACTACACAAGGTGCCAGTTACTCTAGCATTCGTCAACATTGCATAATCAATGGGCCTAGTATGCCTTTAAGCGTTGGCGACCATAAAACGTGCCCAAGTCGGTATATATATTCGCTTGTTGTTAGCCGGGCTGGACTGCCTTGCTCATAACTGCTGGGTTCTCCCTAAAGCTGCAACGTTATATCTCCCCGCATACCCTCCTCCCTTAAAGTGATTACGTCACCGTAAATAATAAAAAATAAAAAAAATATTTCCACTTTTTCACAAAATATAAGTAATTCTGTTCACTTTTTATGGTTATATTGCTGCATTATACTTCTTATTTTACAGAATGTTGTGTGTAGTCTGGGTACTAATTCATTGTTTCTCTTTGTGTCGAGTGTAAGCCATCACTGCGGAGGAGCAGAGCGGAATCGAAGCGTCTTGTCAGCATTTACCACGGCCGTCGCAACATGAATATGTAAGTGCAAAGATATTTCTTGGTAATCTAAGGAGCATAATAGTAAGTTATCGCAATTTCGCGCCCGTTTTGTGTATATTTTGGTAGTACTGTGTCTAACATTTTTGCTGGGGTCAGCCCACATTAATCATGGCGAACAAAAGAACTGACCCGTTGCACCCCCATTTATCGGATATTAACATAGATAAGCGTGACGATATAGAACGTGACGAGCGTGACGATCGTCAGGAACGTGACGGTCGTCAGGAACGTGACGAGCACCGTGAAGTCACGTTTCACGAACCGGGAATGAAACGGTTATTACGGGAGGTCCAGTCATGGGTGTTACTGAATAATTACAAAGTTTTTAGCGGTGGGGATGATTCCGTAATTAACTTTGGGCAATGGTTGGTCAATTTACAGCAGCTTTTTATTATTGTAAATGAAAATGATTCGCAGCGAAGAGTTCGAATGGCTTTGCGCCTGTTGGCGGAAGAACCGGCAGCCTATCTGTCTGAAATCATGAGTGTCCACCCTTCAATAGAATGGGACGATGTGTTAAAAATATTAACGAAGCGTTATTCTGATATTTCGGCTAAGCCAATAGCAATCCAACAATTTAAACACGCGCAGCAAAAAGCTAGCGAGAGTGTACAAGCCTTTTCTAAGAGATTGGAAGCGCTATCTAGGATAGCATACGGGGTAAAATTAAATACGGATGTAAATTATAATGAACGACTGGTTGAAGCGTTTACCGATGGGGTAAGGAGTGAGAAGTTAAGAAAAACGTTGCTTAAAAATAAGCCTGCTACTTTCAGTAGGGCGGTAGAGATAGCTACGCAGCAGGCATCGTTTCAATTAGAATTGGATATTAGAGCCCACAATCGGAAGGGTAGCGAGGTGGCACAAATATCGACTGTTACGACACCATCCGTGCAACAACAAATTGAAGACTTACGCGAAATCGTCTCGCAAAATGCACGCATGCACATACCACACACTGCGAATACATACTCCACACAGCCAGTGCAGGTCGCGCACGACACACGGCCGCGCGATGGTACACGTATACAACAGTCACAACGATACACGCAACCACCACACAGAACTAATGCACAAACGCAGCGCGAATCGGCAAGTTTTACGCCAAACAGCAACAGACAAGCTTACACGCCACGTAGCAACACTCAGCGATACACACCGCCCGCACAGTTATTAACACCACGCCCAAACACGCAATATCTATATACCCCTGAAGGCCTCCCAATTTGTGCTATTTGCGGGCAGCCGGGACACATTTGGTTTCGATGCCCGAAGCAGTCGCGAGATAACATGCGGAGTTCCGCGTACTCTCGCGGTACAGCACAGGTAAATGGCCGCGCTGCCGTCATGACTTCGAGACGTTGACGGTAGCGGGGAAGAATGAGTCTCACGTTAAGATTTTAATAAACGCGCACGATGTAAACACGCAAGCGGTACCTTCGTGTAACATTTCGATTGGCAAAAGTACTATTAACGCGTTAATAGGCAATAATGGGCTTTTCAAAAGAGGCGAACAGCAACATTTTATTTGCCAGCCGTTTTCATTAAGAATAACTCAGAATTTCCTAATCCCTAGCAGAGAGATCGTGTCATGCTGCATGTGACACAATGTGACGAGACATGAGACATAATGTGATGATGCATGTGACACAATGTGACAATGCATGTGACACACCTCGACAATGCATGTGGCACAATGTGACAATGCATGTGACACAATGTGACAATGCATGTGACACAATGTGACGAGACGTGTGACACAAGGTGACGAAGACGTGTGACACAAGGTGATGTAGACGTGTGACACAAGGTGATGTAGACGTGTGACACAAGGGGACAGAGACGTGTGACACATGTGGCGAGACATGTGACAGAATATGACGATGCATGTGACACCACAGTGGTCTGATCGTGACGTCATTCCATGTTGTCAGTGACATCATGGCGAGATATCAAGCAAGTTGTGCATTCAATTATATACACACTCCCATGGCCAATCAGCAACCTGACGACCCAAATTCAAATGTAGCCAACCAGCAGCCTGTCCAATGCGCGAGTAGCCAATCAGTAGCCTGTTTAATGCGCGAGTAGCCAATCGGCAGCCCGTGAACCGCGAGAGTAGCCAATCAGTGGCCAGGTCTGGCGACCGAGTAGCATCGGCGAATCTGTCACATTCGAAGTGAGCACAATCATACTCACTGGGGGCAACCCGGACAACCAACCTTGGCTGCGTGAAGATTTGTGCATGCATGCGTGCGACTGGTCTACCAACTAGAAAATACAGCAAAGGTTAAAATGTGAATACTGCTCATCACGACAGCCCACACACCACATCAACCACCCACACACACAGTCACACATACGACGCACAGCACAGACGGCAGGACGCACACAGCACCACACACACACAATACACACAGAGTGATGCAGCAGGCATTCGCATGATACGAGATGAAAATTGCATGAAGAAACACGAAGAAAATAGAATTCATTCGGTCGTATCCACACGTTCGTGAGTCATGTGTCGCTGTTATGATGTCACGTGTCAATATGTCTTGATGACGTCATGGCTACGCATGCAGTTGCCGGATTTCAGCATGATGATCTAAGATTAATATAATGAATTATGTAGTAGCGACGTCAGTGAATTACATAAACACTTAGAGACTCGGAGAGGCAACAGACCTCGCGCCAAGGCAGCTTGAATTTCTCTCATGTTGAAATTTTTTTATGTATTAATTTAATTAATTAGTGAAAAAATTAATTAATTAATTATTAATTGAATCCGGATTAGTGGGCGAGCGTGCAATGGTGGGGAGGACTGTGTTTGCCCCTTAGCTTTGTGGTTGCGTGTTTTGTAAGTCTACAGCCAGGCACTAGCGGAAGTGAACTGAAAACGTGCATGGTAAGCAAACTGAACACCAACAAAACTCAGAGATCACGCCGGTGAAACATTAACCTCGCACAAGCCCCTGGCGGTAGGTAACAAACTCATTGGCCACAGAATTGCAAGGGATGTGAATGGCAGTCAGCAACTACTCACCACAAACATGCATGACAATAGGGCAGATGCTGTAGAAACTACACACGACACAACGCTGATGATAAATTAGAACACTGGGCGTACACACACAATCATCACACGTGTAGTATCAAGAGCTAATGATATATTATTATTATTAATATATTATTAATTAATAATATAATTAATAATTTATTAATAAATGATGATTCATAATAATTTATTAATTAATTGATAATTATAATTAATTAATTATTATTATTATTCATAATATCTGCAATTAATTGGTAAATATATTAATATAATTTAGCTCTTAGAGTAGTATCATTTGCCGCGTGAATATGGCGTGGATGCTCGTGCAACGGACGAACAGTGTGAATAAGCAACAAATCGGACGATGACGTGTAAAAAGCGAGAACAGTCGAACACCGGAACACTGCACGAAAGAACGAACGGAACGAACGAACGAAAACCACCGAAGCACCACCGGCTGACTATGCTTTCGAGGCTATGGCCTTCGGCTCCCTTCTCTCCGCTCGTACTGATGAACGAGAGAAGGGAGATGAGTCTCTCTCTACATATCCTATCACGCACGCGACATGACAGCAGGCAACGGCACGAGCACTGTGGCTGAAGGGGTCGTTGTCGTATATGCATGGCGTAGCAGGGGGGGTTCGGGGGTTTGGCACGAACGGCCCCCCCGAGATTTTTTGGTGTTGTTGAATAATTTGCAAGAATTTCACATCAGGTGCTCTACATTTTAGTGTAATAATTGCAAAATCTCCATCGTGCGGGAGGGTGAACAGTGCACCCCGCTTCCGCACACCCTCCCGCCCGCTCGGTCGCGGTTGCTCCTCGCTCGGGTCGCTTCGCGCCCCGAGCAGGGGCGTGTACAGGGGGGGTGCGGAGTGGACCCCTTGGTCGGATGAAAACGCATCTGAGAAGGTCTACGATTTCAAAAATGTTCTGGGGGCGAACCACCAGCTCCCGGGCCCCTTCGGTGCTGAACTTTGTTTACGTTAGACCCCCCTGGTACAAATAATTGTGTACACGCGCCTGAGAGCGCAATATTGCAACATTGAAAAACGACCCCTTCAATATAAAGCTGCTAGCAGGCCTGGTAATAGGGTAGCCCTAACCCTAACGCATGATCAGATAGTTACCGAGGGTATCATATATGTAGGTAGTACGCTAATACGACAACGGCTTCGTGCGACACTGTAGTGGTCTGTCACCAAGCAACGATGTCACCAGTGTCACAGTGTTACCGGACAACAGCCGTAATACAACATAAATTATACATATATATATATATATATACATAAATTATACATATAATATATATATATATATATACATACACCATAAATACGTTACACTATGCACACATGTTCAATAATTTGCCCTAACACTGCCCTCAAGCCCCACTGCCAAGTGCCACCGCATTCAACCACCAGGTACACGTGCACACGCTCCGAGGTACACGCACGAGGCAGGAACAAGAGAACGCCATGCAGCGACGTGCAACAAGAGAACGTCCACGCGTACGCTAGGGTGTATAGGAAAGGAGCGGCCTCGCGGAGGAAATCCCCGAGCATAAATAATAACAGGAGCTAATAATGATGACAAATTTAATTTAGCTGCTGATAATAATAACATTATTTTAATATTATAATAACTAAATATAGTACGAAGCGGTGGAGTACAAGGGCACAGCCCTACCTAGACCTCTGAACCCCTTATAATAATAAATAAATATAGCACGGAGAGATGGAGAGGAGCAGTCCTGACCTCTTACCTAGACAGCTTCGTCTCCTCATTGACATCTTCCCCAGGCAGGCAGTAGGGAGAGCTCCCATTAAGGGAATCCTGCTGCTCCCGGGCGAGGAAAGAGCGTGGCAGACAGGCACCTATTAGAATGTTGTGTGCTCGTATGAGCGAGGGGAGGAGGGGAAGGGGGGAGCGGGGGGGAGGAGCGAGGTACAGACGTGCAGGATGGAGAACAGACTTCTGAGAAGAGAGGAATGCGTGCTGACAGGGGTCATGCTCGCTGATGCTGCTGTTTGTTGCTGTTTGTTGTTGCTGCTGCTGCTCTAGCTGTTTGTTGCTGCTGTTGTTCTTGTTGCTGCTGTTGCTGTTGTTGTTGTTGTTGTTGTTGCTGCTACTGCTGCTGCTGTTACTGCTGCTACTGTAGTTGCATTTTGCATTATTATATATGTATGCTAGATAACACATGTGCCTGTGTTTATACATGCATAAATTAACATTATAAGTTCGAATCTGTGTTTATAGATGTATAGTCTGACATTGCAAATGTGTCTATAGATGTGTATGCGTGCATACATGTGTAATTGTGATGTGTCACTGCAATGCATGAGACACAGACACTATCAGTATATTTGCATATTTTCTCATTGCACTATTAAATACAGAAGTATGTGTTAACTTTTCGCTACTGCTACACTTCAACATGTAGATATGAAAAAATACAACACATCACTCTTCGTGAACACTTTGTTTATGGCAAAAATAACTTTCAAACAAATAAAATTAACAATTTTAAATATTTACACAGATAATAAGGTAATGCATCTATAGCTACATGTACATCACATATTCATTCTGCTCAACAAATTTAGCGAGCAACACGGCAACAAAGCGAACAAATTCGGGCTAAGTCGTAACGACGCGAGATAAAAAATGTTCCGACAAAAAGGAAAGCGAAAGAATATGACGAAACAAAACCTCATTCTTCCTTTTAAAACGCAAGGAGGTTGCAAGCCCAGTTACTAACTTATAATTGTTCTCAGTTGGTTAGCCCCGGAACTATATTGTTGCTAAGGTGTTCCGAACTTATATTGTTCTAAAGGTGCACCGGAACCTATATTGTTCCTAGTTGTTACCCGGACTTATATTGTTCTAAAGGTGTCAGCGAACTTATATTGTTCTAAGTGTGTACGTGAACGTATATTTGTTCGTGCTAGTTATCAGCCGAACATTATATTGTTTCTATAAGTTATCACCGGAACCTTATATTGTTCTAAAGTGTCAGGGACCTTAATATTGTTCTAAAGGTGGTTACCGGAACTTATATTGTTTAAAGGTGTTACCGACGGTTATATATGTTTCTAAAGGTGTCACGGAACCTTATGATTGTTCGCTAAGTTATGCACCGGAACTTATCTTTGTTCTAAAGGTATCACCGGAAGCTATATTGTTCTAAAAGATGTCACCGAACCTATATGTTCTAAAGGTGTCCGGAACTTATATTGTCTAAAGGTGTCACCGGAAGCGCTTATATGTTCTAAAGGTGTTACCGGAACCTTATATTGTTCTAAAGGTATCACGAACGCTTATTTGTTCTAAGAAGATGTGACCGGGAACCTTAATATTGTTTCTAACAGTGTCACCGGAGACCTTATATTGTTCTGAAAAGGTGTCACTGGAACATAAGGTTGTTCTGGATTCTCGGCGAACAGTTTGACATCAGACAGAGGTTTCAGATGGCATCCGATCCCGGGATACTGTTGGGCTAGGGCGATCGCGACGAGCGCTGGCTTCGGCTGGCTGCGACGTCGCGAAATTCGAGTCGAACGAGGTCAGTGAATGAGGGCGCCGCGGCGGGTCGTCCGGCTGTCTCGATTCTCAACCATCGGACGAGTGGCGTCGACGTCACGAACGTCACGCGGCGGCGCGCGACCAGCATTCCACAGATTGCATCGCTCGGGCGAGAAAGCGAACGTTCGGCGCGGTCCGGGCGGAACCGCCGATCGCTCGTCGGGAAGAGGCCGTGACGTCGTCGGTGTGACGATCCCGGGCGCTCGGCGGCGTTCCGACTATCGGCGCGACACCTCTCGCAGGTGGATGGCGCGTCTGCACGCGGCTGCCACCTGGCGGTTAGAGCGGCTGGCTCTGCGGAAATCGCCTTCTGACACTCTCTCATCCTCGCTCCTCCTCTCTCATCCTCGAGCAAGTATTTCCCAAGCAGGGGGAGCCTTCCCTCTGTCTGCGGCGCTTCCCGGGAGACT